GGTCCCCAGCCAGGGAAGAGCCTGCAACCTAGGTACATGCCCTTGATCAGAATTGAACCCAGACCCTGTGGTAGGCAGGCCGAGGCATTATCTACTGAGCCAAACCAGCTAAGACAGGATATGATATTTCTTATCCCTCCAGCAGAGGACCTTCATTATTTTCTCCAGGAGTGAGGTGGATAAACCCTACATCACCTTCTTGGATTCTTGTTACCCAAGTTACTAAGAATATTACCAGAGGCATACAGGGAGCTTAGCCAATGAGCGGTCAGAAAAGGTGTTTCCTCTGTAGTTCACACCAATCCCTGGCTCTGCCCCTGTCTAGGCCTCAGGCATCTGGCTGGGGCTTTAGGCCTGGGCAGGGGACCCCCAGACTGCTCCTATAGTAGGCTCCGCCCCTTCCCAGGCCAGAGGAGCGTTAGGCCTGGGTAGGGGACCCCCAGTCTGCTCTGATCACCTGCCCAGGCCTAAGACCTCTGGCTGGGGCATTAGGCCTGGGCAGGGGACCCCCAGCCCACTATGATCGTAGGCTCTGCCCCTACCCAGGCCTCAGGCTTCTGGAAGGGTGTTAGGCCTTGTCAGCCAGCCCGCTCCAATTGCCTACTTAGGCCTCAGGCCTCTGTTTGGATAAGGGACCCCCAGCCCACTCTGATCACAGGCTCCATCCCTGCCCAGGCCTCAGGCCTTTGGCCAGGGCATTAGACCTGGAGAGGGGACCCCCAGCCTGTTCTGATTGCCTACCGAGGCCTCAGGCTTCTGGCCGGGGGTGATTGCCGGCTCCGCCTCCACGGTTCCGATCTGCGGCCCGGATCTGGCACTGCCCGCCCCACCTGCAGTATGCAAATTTAACAGTTACCTTTGTTGGGTTAATTTGTATACTCTTCTGATTGGCTGGTGGGTGTAGTGAAGGTATGGTCAATTAGCATCTTAGTCTTTTATTAGTGTAGATTTTTCATACTGTTCTCTCAGTAGCTGTTAATAGATATTAAGAGCTTTACTAGATACTTTTTAGGTCTTATTGAAGTTTGAATATAAATCTAAAGACATTTAATAATTTTAATGATTTTTTTCAAATAGTATCTCTGGTGATTCAATATTGCTTTGTTTAAAAGCAGAAGAAATAGTTCACCAGCATCCTAAAATATTTTGAAAGAATCAGAGCCCAATATTTGGAGCAAGTGAATACCTAGTGAAATGGAGAGAAACATAGAAAGTAATATAACCAGTTGTTTTCTTCCAAATTTAAACAAATCTTTTTTCCCCCCTGACAGCTACAAGTGAGCTTGCTCATCGATATAAGGATTTGGGAAAAGAATTTTTCAAAGGCCTGTAAGTTACAATATTGAAAAGTCAAATTTAATGTTTCTAACAACATGCTATTATTCTGAAGTTCTTATATTCCCCTGTCTTTAGAGTCCAGACCCAAGAACAGTATTGTCTAATAGAATTTTCTACATTGATGAGACCATTCCATATCAATGCTGGCCAATATGGTAGCCACTGGCCGCACATAGTTGTTGAGTACTTTTAAAAACTATATATTTTTACTTATTTCTGAGAAAAAAGGGGGGGGGGGGGAGAGAGAGAGAGAGAGAGAGAGAGAGAGAGAGAGAGAGAGAGAGAGAGAGAGAGAGAGAGAGAGAGAGAGAGAGAGAGAGAGAGAGAGAGAGAGAGAGAGAGAGAGAGAGAGAGAGAGAGAGAGAGAGATCAATGATGAGAGAGAATTATTGATCAGCTGCCTCCTGAGGATTGAGCTTGCAATCAGCACGTGTGCCCTGACCTGGAATTGAACTGTGAACTCCTGGTTCATAGTTTGATTCTCAACCACTGAGCAACACCAGCCAGGCTGAGTACTTTAAACACTGAAAGCACAACTGAGGATCAGAAGTTTAAATTGTATATTGTATATAATTTTAATTAATTTAACTATATAGTCACATGTGGCTGATGGCTACTGTTTGGGGAAGTGTAGTAGCTCTGGAACTCTTACCTAAGCTTGATGGAAGGAAAATCTTATTATGGTTCCTTTCCCAGCACACACTCAGATTCCTTTACCTAGCAAATAGATCTCTGGTTTCTCCAGAGCATTTTAATATTTTTTTAATCCAGTAAGAATTAAAAAATAGTTTATTTTTTAAAGATCAGTTTTATTCTATATCCTGATCAAAGGAGATGTGTGTTTGTTTTAAATAGTCCAAAGGTCTATGTAACGCCCCTCATCTTAACAGGTCTATTTAGCATGCATGTTGCTTTCTTACTCTGTATGTGTTCATCTACTAACATAGATATGTAAATATGGTGGAAGTGTATACCCTCTTTGTTTGGAAAACCACCTATCCCTGGTTAGGCCTGAGATAATTGCTGATGTGAATAGTTTTTCAGGATAATAGTGAGATGCATAAAATACTATGGGATATATACTGATAACAATTTGTTCTCTAGCATAGCAACTGACTTTATATTAAAGTTTATTATACTACGTTTTCCTATGTCCCATGTTTCAGGTTGCTGGTTGACTTTTCTCAGTTTCTCCGGAAGTCCCCTTTAGATGCGATTGTAAAATTAGCAAATGAACTAACAGACCTGGCAGATGTATGTGCTCTTAATGAGTTAGCTGAAAATTGTGGCAAGTCACTTGTAAGTACACTGTGATTTTCAATATTATTACTTTTTATTTTAAGTAATCCTGAGCATTTCAAAGGGAAAAGAACCTATTTTGGCTTTCTTAGTTATTACTTAAATGATTATATTTGAGAGAAACACTCACAAATGGGTAGAACCATCGTACCTTCTGTGATAGAGACATTCTAGCTATGTCCACAGTTTTCAGGCATTTCTTTATTGAGACCACACACAGTGAATTTGTCATTTGTGAACGTCTCTTTGTTTTAAATCTGAAGTTTGAATTGCTTTCATAGAGGCTAATACTAATAGCATGGTTTTTAATTTTCAGAAAGCACTTGGGTGATTTTTACGCTAATTTTGTTGGCTGGATATAATAATAGTACAGCGATATATTCCCCCTTTTAAGGATATTCATACTTTTATATCAAATCAAATCTGAAGGCATTAATGTTTTAAAGGATTTTGAGCTTTTGCTGTTTCCAGATAGGTTTTTGTTGTTGTTAATCGTCTCCTGAGGATTTTTTTCTAGAGAGTGGAAGGGAAGGCAGGAGGGAGAGAGAGAGAGAAATACATCGATGTGAGAGAGGTACATAAATTGTCTGTCTCCAGCATGGCCTCCCTCCCCCACCTCCCCCTGTCCAGGGATTAAACCTGGAACCCAGGTATGCACCCTTGACTGGGAATCTAACCAACAATCCTTGGGTGCACAGTCTGATGCTCTGACCACTGATCCATACCAGCCAGGGCGTAAAGTCCTTTTTTCATTTATCACTGAAGCTATTCCTCCTCTTATTTCTCTATATATGTGTCTCCCCCTGAAGTCAGAATCAGTACTTTAACTTCATACAATATTTTGACTCTAAATGTGAATAATAAATATATATTTTTGAAAATCAATAAATTCTGTCTTAAGCAGTATATTTTCCCTGGTATTACAAGTATTTTCATAATAAAAGTGAATGGGGATGGAAATAATTCCTTTAATGCAATGGCTTTTGAGACAACAGTTTCTGAAATAAAAAAGATTTATATTTTAATGCAATAACAACTAATATATAGTGAATTGTAGTATTTCTCAGTTTTAAAACAGTATCTACAAAAAAGTTGGACCTATCAAAAGGGAGTAGGTCAAATAAGAAACTATCCCAACACTTTCTTCTCTGATGTGAATTCATCGCTACTTAGAGGAGTATTTTCCCTTGATTTTTATTATGATTGCTTCCAGTCTTTAGCCTCAAGTGAAAATTGGATTAACACTCATTCTTTAAAGCCATTGGCTGGCATGTTGCCCTATTGTCTTATTCGTGTGACAGTTACTTCTTAAAAAAATTACAGATAGGCCTAGCCAGTGGTTTAGTGGTTAGAGCATTGGACTGTGCACCTGAAGGGTCTCAGGTTTGATTCCTGGTCAAAAGCACATATCTGGCCCCTACCCTGTTTGGCTCAGCAGATAGAATGTTGGCCCTAGAACTCAAGGGTCCCAGGTTCAATTCTGCTCAAGGGCACTTACCTTGGTTGAGGGTTCCTCCCCGACCACACTCCCTGGTGCTCCTCTCACATTGATATTTCTCTCTGTCTTTCCCTCTCTCTTCCATTCTCTCTAAAAATCAATGGAAAAATATCCTCAGGTGAGGATTAAAAACCAAACACAAAAAAGAGCACATATCAATCCCTGGTCCCACCTGGGGCTTGTGTGGGAGGCAACCAATTGCTGTGTCTCTCTCACATGGATGTTTCTCTCTCTCGCTTGCCCTCCTCCTCCCTCCCCTCCACTCTCTCTGAAAAGCAATGGAAAAAATATCCTCAAGTGAGGATTAATAATAAACAAACACAAATTAAAAAGAAACATAGATGATGAAATTAAGGGAAACTAACCCTGAGAAAAAGTGGATTTCTATATGACTTCCTCAGCAAGGTTTACATTTTTAATATTTATTTCTTGTGTTCAGTTGAATCTCTTGGCGACCTGGCTGAGTGCTGCGCAAAACAAGAACCTGAGAGAAATCAATGCTTCCTGAAACACAAAGATGATGATCTGGACATCCCTCCATTGGCGGCAACAGACCCCAGTGCAATATGCACTGCCTTTCATCAATTCGAACAGAAGGTTTTGGGAACGTAAGTAACTTATGCTTCAAGTTTAAAAATTATGAAATAGGTTAAGACTCAATGATAACAATTATTACCACAAAATATTTCCAATATGAAAACTTAAAAGCTTTTGTTCTAATGACAAATAGAAAGAAATATTATTTAATGATATAAAATATCATTTAATGATATTATTTAATGATATAAAATGTTACACAATAAAACATTTGATCAATGATCTGTTGGAATCCATGAGAACAGATATGATCTACATGAAAAACATTGACAAGTATTAAAATATTATGAAGATATATATTTTGCTATTGCCAGAATTAACTTCATTTTAGTAAGTTAAAATGTATTTCTCTTATATCACCAATACTTAATTATTTTATATGTGTGTATACACTTTATATAGGTATATAAGTTTAGATTTTTCAATGACATAAAAAATGACAAAGGAAAGGTCAAATTGAGTTTAGTAAGTCAGATGTCTTTAGGTTTTGGAGTTCCTAGAGAAAATGTTGATAATAATTGTTCCTGTAATCCTGTCTGCTACAGAAAAGTGACTGCCTGTCCTTCTTTTTAAAAATTTAGGTTCATATATGAAATTGCCAGGAGACATCCTTACTTTTATGGCCCAGCGCTCCTGTACTATACTCAGGAATATAAAGGAGATTTGACAGAAGGCTGCCAAGGTGCTGGTGCAGATGCCAGGCTGGGCCCAAAGGTATGCCCAGCAGAAAAGAAGAGCCAGTTCAGACTCAAACCTCAGATTTGGTGCAGCTTTTGTAGAGCACCTAAGTCTCTGATAGAAACTTCTTTACCTTCAAAAAGCCTTCCTTACTCTTACCCATCCCAAAGATTCTTCACCCTCTTTGAAGGCCTCTGACATTCTTATTCCTCCTTGGATCTGATAGAAAAAACCACTGTGTATGTGTCTAAATACCCCTGTTATTTTATAGTGAAATACAGAAACTCATTAGTTAAATTGCACAGCAAAGAGCCACAGCTTTTGTTTATCATTTTTGAACCTTTCATATTGGGGATAAAATTCAAAGTGGAGAATTTCACTGCTACTAGAAGTCTGGGGTTAGTCATTCATTCTATAAATATTTATTATGCACTGATCATGTTTTATAATTTATTTATTTATTTATTCATGTATGTATTTATTTTTTAAAGGTATTTATTTTTAAATATATTTTTTATTGATTTCAGAGAGGAAGACAGATGGAGAGATGAGTGAGAATTATTGATCGGCTGCCTCCTACATGCCCCTTCCTGGAGATCAATCTCAAAACGAGGGCATGTGCCCTGGCCAGGAATCGAAACCTGGTGTCCTGGTTCTAGGTGGATGCTCAACCATAAGCGGAATTGGCCAGGCTACTAGGGAGTTTATTGATGTGAGAGTTGGTAAAGGAGGGATTTAAATGAATTTATGCAAAATAAAAAAATCAGTAAAATTTTATTCCCTGGGATATTAGTGTATTTTCCCTTCTGTTCCCTTTTCCCTGGCAATGCCCCATGCTGGTTGTTCATTATCTAGGGCAGTGGTTTGCAAACTGCGGTTTGAGAGCCACAGGTGGCTCTTTGGCCCCTTGAGTATGGCTCTTCCACAAAATACCGACTTCTGCGCATGGGCCACGAAGTTTCAATTGCACTGTACGTGTGTGCCTGCACTTGGTATTTTGTGGAAGAGCCACACTCATGGGGCCAAAGAGCCGCATGTAGCTCGCGAGCTACAGTTTGCCGACCACAGATGGGCTTTCACTATGACCAAACTGATTTTTCCTCTAACAACATAGCAAAATAATTATTTTCCAACATTGAGTATTTGGGACTTTAGGTGTGCAGTATGTCTTTAAAATTTAATTTTTCATAGTCTCATCTGAACTTCTGAAGGGCTGTTTCATGTAGAATTATTTTTCTATTTTATTTTCCCCATCACCATTTATCCTCCTGTACCCTCCTCCCCCTCCCCGCACCTTCTTACTCCTCTTAATCACCATGTCCATGAGCTTTTCCTCTCTTTTTTTCTTTTTTTTCATGTGAAATTAAAAATCTTTTTTCAAAATTATTTCTTTTTCAGTTGGATGCCTTGCAAAAAGAAGTACTGCGTTCAGCTTACAGAGAGGAATTCAAGTGTTCCATGCTCCAAAATAGCGGAGAAAATGCTTTGCAAAAATGGTATTTTGAAAGTAGATTTGTACTTTATAATGATGTAAAGAATAATGGTTCAGTTGAAAAAATTGTACATTTTTACACAGTGTTTTTACATAAGTCTTTTTGGTTGTTTACAATATACAAATTTAACACAAGTGAAAAATCAGAGCATAAATGACAATTTCTCATTATTTTTAATCATATTTTCTCAAGGTACTCAAAAATTTTGAGGGTACCTTTTTTTATCATTCAAGACCAGGTATTTTAAGTCCCATTTATTTGTAAAGATTAGGGATCTTATTCTATTGGTCCATGATTTTTATACAGTTGTAGTCAGGGTCTTTTATTTTATTGCCCCCTGCAATCATCAGAAACTGCTTACTTTTTGTTCTGCTAATTAAATTCAGCCATCAAGATCACTTCTCATTTTCTCATGGCTCCTGCTCTGTTCTTAATCTCCTGTTGCCTGGGCCTCTATTTTTATATAACTTAGCTGGTCCTGGGAGAATCCATCCTTCAGCATCTGAGCCAATAAATCTCACCCTTGTCCCCAATCCCTCACTTGTTAGTCAACAATTCATTAGACAAATTAATTGTGTTTAATCATCAGAAACAGAGGATAAAATGAAAGGAAATAGACATTTATCAAGGTCTCCAGAAACCATCATTTGAACTATCTTTGCCTGTCACTTCTACTATCTGATCAACAAAATCAAGCAAATAATTTAAAAAAACCATCCCAATGTGGAACAATGCACATGTAAACAGGCTGTGACTGGTTTTGGGGAAGAAGTATCGTTGATCAGATGTAGGCAAGTCTGAAATGGTTTGTGAAAGCATGTGCATATTAGCCTTTCACATCTGTGATCAGGCTTGAGTCTGTGCTGGATCAATTTCTGGGTAAAAATATGTTAAACTCTATAATCTTAAAAAGTTATGAAATTTATTTTCTCAGCGTCCTTTGGCACTCAGGAGGAAGGCTTTTAATTAGATAAAAAAAAATAACTGGAGTTTGGCCTTTCCAGTTTATAAAGTGCTTTCCTATGCATCATCTAATTTAATTCTCACCACAGTCCTTTGATGCAGCACGCGATGGGTCTCTCCAAGACTGAAGCTCAGAGATTCTAAGTAACTATCCAAGGATCACACTGCTAATGAGCAGTAAAATCATATCTGGAAGTCAGATATGGAATCCAAACCTGATGCTTCTCAGATGTCCCCTCTTTCAGAATCCTCTATGATTTCTAATTTTATGAATCGCTTCTTTCTACCCACCACACACACTTTGAATAGATAATTCTGCCCTGAGCAAATATTTTGCCCTAAGATAACTTGGTTTAGAATTAGCACTAAAATATGAACTAATGAATTTTACAAATTATTTACATATTTTATTTTGTCCTCAATTTACTTGTTATAAGTAGTGTTTTTGTAGTGCTTTCACATAAAATATTCCATGTTAACAAATTGTGATGGGGAATTTTCCTTTTAGGTTCGTATCTGACCTGACCAAGAGATTTCCTAATGCTGACTTTATGATGGTTTCCAAATTGGCAACAGATTTTACCAAAGTCCACAAGGAATGCTGCCAAAGTGACATGCTTGAATGTGCAGATGACTGGGTAAGGAATGCTCAGTATTCTCTTAGGTGTCTTTGCTTTGGTAACATCCTGAGTGGGTACAATGACTCTATTTACTATAATTGGTGACAGCTGACAGTGAATTGAAATTGTCTTGTATGTCTAATATACTCAATTCTTTCCCTGCCTTGTGGCATGTTATGTGTGTATGTATGTATGTATTTATTTTTTGTAAACTTGGCTATCCCAGTCACAAAATGATCTGATACATACATTCACTAATTTGTAACCCTTTTCAGTCATATTGTACCTGAGAACAAAGGTTCAAACTGAAGTAGGACAGCTGCAAGGGTAGATTTCTATGAAGATTTCTTTGAGTACATGGTTAGAGTTGGAGAAGAGCTGGTACCTGAAAACACTGTTGGAAATTATGTAATTTTTTTCTATATATCCTCCCTTAATACACAAATATTTAGCATAAAATATCTCCCTCCCCCAATGTAAATATATAACCAATTACCAGAATCCTAATCTCTCGGAACACTTTATGGAAAATTTAAGGCAGATATTTTATATGTAAAAGTAGGGCCTGTGACAATGCTCTTGACTAATTTTTCAAAAAATCCCTTGCACTTTATTTAGTTATTTGGTTACACAATGCCTGTACTTAATGTCAGGGAATATTTGGAAAAACAATACTAGGTTTTATACATATGTGCTTTATTTTTTCAATTACTGTTTACATTTAGTATTATTCTGTGTTGCTTTCAGATGTACAGCGTAGGTAATTAGTACATCATGTGCTTTATAGTACAGAGTGGACCCCTGATATTTCCCACACACAGTCATTAGGATACTATTGACTATATTCCCTGTGCTGCAATTTACATCTCTGTGATTATTCTGTAACTACAGATTTGTACTTCTTAATCTCTTCATCTTTTTCACCAGCCTCCTAATACTGGGCTTCAATTTCAAAACTTAAGTGCCTTGACAGAGGAAATATAAAATTAATAAGTAACTGTTACTGACTCATTTTTAATCAAGTGGAAATATTTTAGTAGTGCTATCTGAATCTACAGATTTAGGAGCATTGATTGAAAATGTTCTTAGAAAGCAGGTTGGTATGTATATGGTCTTAGAATACAGTGGGCATGTTCTGCAAAATAATAAAAATTTAGAGAAAAACTGTAACGATGTCAATTCATTTTGAATAACTTTCATCAATTAACTTCCAGGCAGATCTTACAAAGTACATGTGTGAAAATCAAGCATCAATCTCTCCTACATTGAAGGAATGCTGTAATAAGCCTGTGTTGGAAAAATCTCACTGTCTTGCTGAGAAGGCAGGTGACAATTCAGCTGCTAACGTAGCTGCTAACGTGGCTGCTAACCTAGCCCCAGTAACTGCTGCTTTTGTTGAAAATAAGGACGTTTGCAAAAACTATATGGAGGCAAAAGATGACTTCCTGGGCAAGTAAGTGTATGAAGAATTATCCTTTCATAGCATTGATGTAGTCTGAGGATTTAGAAAACACTTCTAGCTTTTCCTTTGAAGGTGTTACATTTGTTGCTTGCAATGCTTATTCATCCTTTTCTTTCTGAGCCTTTAATATTTTGGGGAAAAGTTAATAATTTTAAAAAATAGTCATAAAATAATACCGCTCTTGGCAAAAGCTAAATCAATAGAAAAGAGAATACAAAGTTTTAAGTAGACTTTTCTATCATCCCTCCCTCCTCATTCCTTGCTCCCTAGGAATATTTCTGGGAATATCTCTAGAAACATTATGTATACACATGAATTATATACATATTATTCAAGTATTTATTCACATACTATTTCTTAAAAATACCATGACTTACATGAGTGAAACTATTTCTTGAACATACCATGACATGAGTGAATATAAGTCATACATCTTTATATCTCTGTATCTCCCTCTGTATCTGTCTGACAGCAGCATAGAAGTATAAAGAGAAGTATGGAGTCTGCTACCAGGTGCCCTATATTTGTTTGTAAATATCAGCAGTTTCATAGCATGACAAGGCAGCATTTAGTTAAAAGATAAAAGAAATAGCCCTGGCTTACATGCATGGCTCAGACCTGGTTAGAGTGTGCTGGAGAACCAACATGTCTTGGATATGCATTCTGGCCAAGGGCACGTAGCTGGGTTGCAGGTTCCTTGCCCTGCTTGGGGTGTATGGGGGAGGCTACCAATTGATGTGGCTCTCTCACATCAATGTTTCTCTCTCTCTAAAATCAATTGAAAAAGTTATCTCTGGTGAGGATTAAAAACAAGATAAGATCAATAATTATATATAGATAGTAAGTGGTGATAAACTTTGAATTTCAATTTTTGGATAAAATTCTGTGCACTAAATAATATTTCATAAAATTATGTAGCCTTCCAGATTTCACTCATACAGAGAGGAAAATAAAAATGTAAGAATATCTATCTATCTATCTATCTATCTATCTATCTACCTATCTATCTATCTACATCTATCAATCATCTATATCTATGAGAAGCTTTTTGAGATATAGTTCAAATCAAACAAGAGATACATTATAACAGGTGTTATTTACCAAACATTTAATATGTGCCAGTGTGTGTTATGCACAAATTATGGCATGTGTTTCTCAAAATCCACCTTATAACTTAGATTCTATTATTACATCCATTCTAAAGAGGAGGAAATTAAGACTCCGATAGTGTTAATCAGTTGCCTAAGGTGATATAGTAAAATCAGTGTTAGAACAAGGATTTGAATGAAGGTAGCTTTACCCTGAACCCCTAGCCCTTGGCCACCACCCTTTATTGCATGGGTTTAGTCAAATTGAGACCTTTGGAGTATGAGTCATGCTTGTGGTTAGTTAGGTGATTTTCTTGCTTCTTTGTTTAACAAAGTTTATTTTATTTTCATCTTAACTAGGTTTTTGTATGAGTACTCAAAAAGGCATCCCGACTACCCTGTTTTTCAATAGAATGGTAAATAAAACCTAGATAAGTCAAGAGAAAATGATTCGAATGCAGCAAGCTCTAATTTCAAAATCTTGACCATATCTTTCTACTTTCTCCATGTCCTGAGAATAAAATAAGATAAGGTGAATGTAAATGTTAATGAAAAGAGATGTAATTTAAATATGGAGAGAGTTAACCTGATTCTAAGGCTTATGAAGTATCAAGAGTTAAGGTATTAAGGGAGGTTGTGAAATCTATTTATTTAAAAAAATTTAAAATTTTTTTGATAAGGTTTAGAAATGGATATATAAGATATTATGTAAGGTGAGGGAATCTGTTCTTGAGGATTTTTAGCATATTTTGCTATGCTCAGATGGGATTTTAGCAGGCTTAAGTATTTAGCACCTTTAACAAATATACTGGTTTCCAAAGTTTAGATTTAGAGGGAAATCATTTTTTCCTCTACCAAGGACTTGCTGTATGCTAGGCACCAAGCTGAATCCATGACTGAAGGTGAAATCTCTTACTTCAGAGAGCTCAGAATCCAGATGGAGAGTTGGCTTTATAATAAAAATAATGCTTATAATCACAGCTATAATTTCTTAAGCATTGACTGTGTGCCAAGCACTGTTTTAAGCTTATCTTTTCATTAGCTCAATTCTTTGAGTTGAGTACCATCTCCATGCCTATCTTAGAAGTGAGGTTTCTAAAACTTGGTGATCAGAAGTAAAGTTCCACAACTAGAAAATGAGCAAATACCAGCAGTCACCCTGCAGGGCCTGAATATTCTTACCCACTACGCTATGCAGTTTGGAGGTACCTGAGAAGATTTGCATCAAAGATTTATTTATATGACTTTGGGCAGAAAGGAAGAAACCTGCATCTGGTCCTCTGGTGGAATCCTGTAAACACAATTCTTTTATCTTTTAGCTTGATGAATTTCAGCCTCTTGTGAATGAGCCACATGAAATAGTAAAAAAAACCTGTGAAGTTTTAGGAAACCTTGGAGAGTATGGCTTCCAAAATGTGTATGTATTTTTGTTTTTGACTAATTTTTTTCCTATTCAATTTGTAATTTTTAAAGACTTTATGTATATACTAGAGGCCCGATGCATGAAATTCATGCTAGAGTAGGCCTTCCTTCCCCCCGCTGTCGGCACTGGCTTCCCTCTGGCACCCAGTTCCAGGCTACCCTCTGGCCGCTGGCAGGCACTTGGGACCCATGTTTCCCTTGCAACCCCAGCTTCATCCAGAAAGACATCTGGAAGGACGTCAGGTCTAATTAGTATATTATGCTTTTATTATTATAGATACTCCCTGTCATACAACTTTCAGTCATTAAAATATAGTATATTTCTAATCCTCCTTTGACAAGAAAGACTGGATAATGGGAGATGAAATAGTTGATGGTTTGAAGAGACCTATATTTGAATGAAGTTTTAAAAATTACCCTCTTGAGACTGGGAAGGAAAATACAAAATCTTTTCCTTGGGATATAGGAACTGCGGATGCTCTTTGAGTGTTAAGGAATAGTTTATGAACAAACAAAAGAGAACAATGCTTTCCAGAATAAGAAATGGTTTGTCTTGAGTAGCAGTGGCTCAGAAAGTACTGTAATATATGAGTCGATAGACTAATATCCTGATCTAATAGAGCCTTACATATAGTGGTAAAATCAAAGGAGGGATACACCACCATTAGGTAGATATTTACTGTTCAACTTAGTCTTGTCAGCACTCTTCTAACTGTGGGTGCTAGGGATAGCAATAATTAACAAGTCCCTTCCCTTGAGTAGATTACAGCCATATACTGTATACTGCCTTACAATGGTGGTTGGAATTCCTAATAAAGGATTGGTAATTTGTGCCAGGTTAATGGCATACTTTGTCTCTCTTAATTTAATCCCT